TGTACCACTTTTTGTTAATTCTTTTTTTTTAAATTACAAACCCAGGCCTAATTTTTTAAAAGAGATAAAACCTAGTTACTAAAATTCACATTTTTAAACACTTTACCATTAATGGGAAGGATGCGTATTTTTTATTTTTTTGGTACGATTGAAGAATATGTGGTACCATTTTTTGTCAATTATAAGGGAAGAAAATACTGGTGAGTCTATCCAAGTAGAGGGTGAGGAGAGTAGTATGTATATGATTCACATTAAAAGCTTAATACCCCCTGCATTTGGTGATTGGGTATCCGTTATACTGTCTTACAATAAAACCATCGTTATAAGCGATATGCAAAGTAACATTAATGCATCACAGTATTCACCTGGTGGCTCAGCGATGAACTTGAATTTTTGGACTTAATAGTTAAATTCAGAGTTCGATCCTGCGATGGGTACGATGCGGATGATCCCTCGTGGGGCTTTACCTTGTGTTAATTAGTTGGAACCGTCTTTTCTGTATATATATTTTTCTTTCTGAAAATAACTCCACAGTCATAGCACCAATTTCAGTTGACCCATGTAATCATTTTATTAAGTTCGGTAAACTTTCACTTTACCATATATTTCAGTATCAAGTGAAACTCAGGTTTTGTAGAACTGGCTGTGACGTCACAATATAAAACCTATATGACCTACTTATACTTACATTAAGCCTAATTATTTAATGGTGATAACAACATCAATACTATTTATTATCCAAAAGTAGCCCAACCCATATCAACCTTGATGTCTTTTGTTCCATAAAAGTTTTAGTTAGCACTAAAGTCATATCAAATTCCACCAATTGAAAAATAATGGGAGATTATTCCAGGACTAGGAGGTACCTTTTACCAACACTATAATAACTCTAGGGGTTGTGGTTATTAACAGTCGTTTAGTTCTCTTTTATATAGTTTTTGCTTTGTCCATTAGACTCGAGTTAAGGCTGAAAACCAGGTCAAGCGGCATGAAGTTTTAACAACTTGATATTTAAATAGGCGTTTTCTGAGGAAGTATGATGTTTAAAAGTAGAATATATGCTTTAGATTCAGATCAACGTACATCTAACCAAAATAAGTAAGGTTATTATGGGGAATTGTGATATACGGTAAAACTAGAATTTTAATATCGCTTTATGTACGGTGTTGTATGAAGTCTAGGACTTTGTTGTAACGTATTGGGTATTTTCTTGCTTGAAGTCTTGATTTTTGGTCTCTGTTTATTCAGTAAGTAAAACACTTTAAAATGAGAATATGTACAACATTTCTATGTTACAAGTTTGAAACTTTTGCAAGATTTCTAAGTATGATATTCTATAGTTTATACTTCTGCTTTTAATATAAAGAACGAGTTTCTTTAGACAGGTTTATAGTTTATCATGTTATTCTGGTGTAAATTTAATTAAGAATTTGATATTTATCAAGGTGAACTGTTAGGGCAAATACCTCAAGATCAGACAAAGCTGTCTCTAACTTTGAATTTCTGACAAGAGGAAGAAAAATCAATTAGCAGTACGCTAAGCACTAAGCCACGTCTGGATGTTAGCGTGCTTGGACTGTGCATCAGAAGATTTACGATTCGCATCCCTTGTTGCAAAAAACGCGTTTCGCATTATAGTGCCGTGGGTGCACTATAAGAGTAACAGTTAAATCACACCATTGAGTCAAACAAACGTTGCCCAAAAATAGGAGTGTTGTTGTTGTTCTAGTCAATCCGGTTATGAGCAGATAGCTTTTTGTAATAGCTATGCGGGAAAATTCCGAAACGAACTATTTTCGCAACGTGTATGAGGTTTCATTATCTACGTCAATAACAACTATTTTTTTTGCTCTAAGCAGCTTTCTGTAACAAAATCTGTAGAAATGGAATAAATGCCTAAATATTTCAATCCTTCAAGTCAAATTTCTTGAAAGTCTGAATATTATGAATACCCCAAAACAAATTAAATAGCTTTGATATATATATATATATTCATTTAATTAACATAGTTCTTGTTTTTTACATCCTACCATACATTTCGATGTTTTTTTTTAATATAAATGCCATATTTATGTTGATAGCCTGTGAATATGTCCCCCTAGCGGAAAACTAACATCCGCACTAGAAATCGATATTTGTTTACATATGCCATTCTATAAAAACAATAAAACTCGCTAGCTTGATATAGTCATGCCCGATTTCAGAAATTTTCAATGATTATAATAAATACTAAGTTGAAAAATATAATGGATACATCCTGTGACCTGGCATGGTGTTATATCCATTCAGAAACTTGAGGTAATGGTTTTAATTATGAACACTGACTAGGAACTAAGTTTTTATCCATTAGTGGTGTTGAGGTTCACTTGAAAATAGCTTAAAATCGTGTCTTAAAGGAGATCTGTCTTTACAACCATTTGGTCACTACGTTATTGGTATTAAGACTGCTGCCATAGCTTGCGTTTATCCTACATATGAAAAACACAGTCTGTAATGGTATTTAACTTAAAACGAACTAATTCCGATGAGTATGAAGTGTGCTCCATTAAGTTAAGATGCCCCAGAGCTGGCCTGCTTTAAAAACTGTTTATTTATGAATCTGACCAGATGGCCCATATACTAACAGTTGCGTGGTATGGAAAATAGAAAAAGCATGCCACAACTATTACATATGTCAAGTTATAAACGAATCTCAGACTTATATTATAACAAAGAATGGAGTAATCAGGCGAATAAATAAATAATTCATACCTGAATTGTGAAGCTTGTATTTTATCTTTATAATAAGTGGTAACTGTCCTTTATATTTCTATTTTATAAACCTCAGGAGAATTTAATAGTGTTCACTTCTGAAAAAACATCGATTTATGTCCTATTTGGAAGTGATATATCGGATTGGGAGCTTTTCTCATGCAGAAACTTATCAGAGATTTTCTTAAGATATAGATATATTTAACAGAAAACCATTCTTGCCTGAGCAATAACGAGGAAAAGATATGAATTTGTGCTTTCTCTACTATCATAACCGTACAAAAATGTAGAAATATAAAAAAACTTTTGAGCTAGCGAATGAAAATATAAACTAACATATCTTCAAAAGTCATATTATTATGATGCATTTTTATAATAAAAATAACTCTACTACTTTGTATAAAAAAATTAAACATCTATAGTAATAACAGCTTTTGTTTGTCCTGAAAATGCGCTCGCAATCTCAATGCTTTTCATTTCAACTGATGTAAACAAAAGGCGAATGTAAATATATTTTAGAAGACATTTTGTACAACAATTTATTAGAAGCTTATCAAAGGTTTTAAAGAAGATCTAACGTTATGTTGTAGAGTAACATTATAAGTTTATTTATTGATTGTATTAAATACCTTAAAGTTTAGCCCTAACTAAAACAAAATAACGTACGCAAGTTCGTTTTAATTTTTCTGTATCGAATATAAGGGCTTATGTTAGGCTTAAAACAAGTGGACCTACATATTTCGGTGTCTTCGATTAGAATTATTTTGTATTATTCGAGGAATCCTGTGTGTAAAGAAGTAATGTTGAAATAAAGATACTAATTTGACAGTAAATGTTTTGCGGGTCTCTGCTAGTTTTGAAATAACAGTCTAGAGAAATAGTGCTATCCTTTTAATTGCGATTCAAACCTACAGAGAAAAAAACCTCGTGACTGGCGAAAAGACAAATCAGTAACTTCGCACTTAGTGACCTGCTCCAACCGAAAAGGTTTTTGTAGATAAACGTTATTAAGAAAATAAATTTTTCAAATATGTGATAAATAAGTTCACTTCGAGGGTACGCTAGTGAGAATAAGTGATTAATTCTAGAATATAACATTTAAACATTTTACGTACGAAATTTAGCACTTTAAAGAAATCTGCCAAATACACCTGATCGTAGGTGTTAGTCTAAGCATTAATGGGCGAGTTAGTAATCATCCTCGTCATGGTGAATCAAGGTTTAGAATAAAACTTAGTTTGTGACACCAACACAAAACTTATTAGGATGACAATTTTATAGTAAGTACCAAAGTTTTTATTATCAATTTTATAAAAAAATATTTCATACAACTTCTAGTTGTCTAGATTAATGATATAATTAGAAATTATCACCATTGTTTCTACTCGATGACGTTTCTTTGCTACATAGTGAGTCCACCGTTAGGGCAGCGATAAGTCTTCGTAATTATAACGCTAAAATTAGGAGTTCGATTCCCCTCAGTGGACACATCACATAGCTCAATGTGGCTTTGCTATTAAAAACACAAATATTGTTAAGTAGTGGACAATTTATTTGGCGGAATTCTGTAGTTCTAAAAAACAAAACTATATAATGATGATTTACAAACACGAATATTAGCTATAAAAATACCTTAATGTTCACCTACTCACATTTCTTTACAATACCATGAAACTTTTTACGGTTATTCTACAAAATTAAATTCCATCACAAATATTTCCTGAAACTGCAAATACGACATTCTACCACATTTTGTTATTATCTCAAGAAAAAATAATTATTCCAAAATACTCTAGTATGGATTTTCATAAGGTGAAGCGAAGCTTTTTATTATATATTTGTATGTATGTTCAAATATTTAGATGGAGCTCATGGGTATTAAGTCGTAGATAAAATCCAAACACCAATTAATCTACATTATATTCGTAAGGTGCTGTATTATTATTTACATTTATTTTTCTAACTCAAAGTTAGTTTGACGATATCAAACGAAAGGAGTTTTATTTTTCGTCCTTTATCCTTGTAGTTTCACTCAAAAATTAAACTGTATCTTCCATCCACAGTCTGTGAAAACAAAATTAGAATCTTAAGTTTGTATATGCCGTTCTCGTAGATTCACTTCATCAAATAACAAAAATTCGAGAAATTTTATTATTCGGTCTCATGTTTAATATAAAACTTTGACATGATTTTAAAAACATGACATTACTTATTTCATTATACTACTAACATTATTTCTGAAAACTAGAGAAAATTGGTGTTATAAGTAGACATACAATTTCGAGCTCATTTGAACGAGACAAATTCAGACCAAGCTTCTTCGTGGATTTTCTCACTAAACATGTCTAACACGAATCGGTGTGCGTTCATAAATATTCAGGCATTTTATAATTGCTATTAATAAGTGGGAAATTTTGTTAAAGTGGCAATAAAAACATCTGGGTACAACTCGTAACAACTAGGCTTGTTTTTATAGTAAGCCTTAAGAATATTCGTGACTCATGAGTATACAATAAAAATCTTGGAACGAATATCATTGTGTTCCGATATCATGGTACAGACGTTAGTTTATTCTAAAAACTATTAAAACTTGCTACTCATTTTCTTCGCATACTTCAACTGTACTTGTATGTAACCAATCATAATGTTTTAAAAGTCTTGTCCTACGAAAATGCATAATTTTATAACATTTACGTCTCAGTAGTTAGTTTTTAGTACACTTTTAAAGGTTAACGAAAGGCTGCATCCTATATTAACTGTAATACATTTACAGTTATTGAGTTTCAGCAATTTTTTTCAACTGTAAGAGTATTCGATGTATTATTAGAACACATAATAAGTTCATAGCTGGATGGCATATTTTACAAAGTACCATGCACATATCAACATCCAGTAAACTTTATTGTCTCAACAAGAGCTAACGATATGTCTGTTTTGTTATCCATGATTATATTCTTTGAGTCTGAAACTGATAACCAGATATGATGATGAAATGACTGGACTGATGATAACAACATGGCCCTGTTTTGGTAAATCTTGTCAAACTTCGTTGTCGCCGCTTATGAGTGAATTCCAGGAATCAAAGGTAAACACTGATGAAAATCCCCACCTGTGGGCCTATGTTCAATATGTAACATATTTGTAGACTAACTTGGACTAATAACTGTACAAACGCACATTATAGACCAGTACTGAAAGGACCGCGTAAGGGTCAATAATAGGTCGTTTATCTCTCAACAACTTTGCTCCTTCAAGCTCTTGGACATCCTGAACTTGTAAAATGAATCTCGTTTTCTGTGTTAATGAATATTAAGATTTCTAAAAAAAAATATTAGTAAGTAAATAAGATAAAATAGGTCAATGTTTACACGTTCTTCTTACACATGTGTTGCACTAAGGTTGACAGAGTATAAAACTGTTCTTTGTCTTGCATATCTACTGCAGTTACGTGTTGGAAACAGCATGGCTGTGATATGTCACACTTCTTCGGCAATCTCACCTTCACCGGTTTTTTCTTGCGAGTTTTGCTTGTCATCTTCGGTATGGATAGAGAGATGTTTAACGGATCTGACGTCAAACGGTCAATTTCGTCAAAAAAATGCACGGCAGCAGCAGAGTTATCAAAACTTAATCCTGCCATCTGCCGGTGATCGTTTGATAAATATAGTGTATGAAAACAATCTTCTTGGGCTTTATAATTAGTAAGATTATCAATTATGTCCCGCCAAAGAACAAAACCCGTGCCCTTCTCAGCCATAACGATCTGAAGTCTACGCCGATTTCTAGCACGAGTATCTCCTTTATCAAATAGAAGTACGGGAACGCCAGTCTTTTCAAGCACCCATTCTCCAACACATCCATTACTATTCAGTCGTGTAAAATACAAGTTGGCTAAAGAATGACATACATAAATGTACGTTTTGTGACTTCGGAAAAACATTTCTATCCGAGACAAGTCTTCCTCTGTTAAATCTGAGTCTATGCTGTGACTTTCGCTAACCTCAGAATCTTCAGATCCACCTGGTGAGTTCGAGAATGAAAGGGAGCTTAAAGATTTAGACAAGCGCTTTAAACCCAACGTGTCATACTTTTCTGTAATTTTTAAAACTGCCTGCTTCTCTTGAGAATCAAAAACTGTCGATGACGAATAAATTATATCAGATGGGTCAGCTTGTGGCTTCGACAGGAAATTCATTGACGAATAAAGAGTGTTTGCTTGAATATGATTTGTTCTTTGAACAAGTTTTTGTTGACCGCCCATGTTTTTCGTCGTTGCGCTTAACGAAGCATAGACCGGAGATTGTTTCATAGAGGCGGACATGCTTAGGGTCCTTCACAAATGTTCATGCCTTATGTCACACATTTCTAGACACGTATTTAATACAAACTAACCACAAGCATCGAATAAATATTTCGTAGATATTATTGCATTATTTGAAACACTTTCTTTCATTCAGGTGTCGCTTTAAAGGCATGCAAAACAATTCTTAACTTCGACTTGACTCTTTCTCCATTACATCGGAAACGAGAATTCACCTCTTCTATACACCATCTTCATAACAAATAGCTCCAATCTGGTCTCCGGTGGTTTTATGCCTAAAGCAAAATAGAAACAAGAAAGAAGAATTAATAAGTTTTCCTTCAAGGTATCAGAAGAAAACCATGCGCAAGGGAACAACCGCGTGACACCTCGCGTCCCAACACCGGATGTTCAACAAAAGATTAGGAGTAGTGGCAAAAAAAAGAGGATTTTGTTTAGTAGGGGCAATACTGACAACTTTAGTTTAATTAACCAAGTAGAGTACGTTCCTCCCAACGCCATATAATCAACATATAATTCTGCAGTAATGGTCAAAGTATTTTACGTTTAAAGAAAAAATTAAATAAAATATGTACAAAAAAAAAGAAACTGTGTTAGTATGTTTTATTAGCGCCGAGTTATATATTTGAAATGTACAACCAACGCGGTCTTGATTTTTATACGTACCCAGCAAAATGTGAAACGATATACATCTGCTTCTAATGTTTCATAACTATTAAAATAAAGAAATATCAAATTAACAGAAAACTAAAACAGTATCTCTTTAAAATAAAGAAACAATTTTGCTACTTAAAAAAATTAAGGATGGAAACATGTTTTTATAGTTAAAGTAATTAAGATTGTTTCTATGAAGGAGTTTGTTATTTTACTGAGGAATTTTTCATTTAGCTTATCTTAGAAATTGGGTTAAGTCAGGCGTGACGTTTCTTGAATATAGTTCGTAAATAACTCACTAGAGGACACCAATGAACAGTCATTATAGTGCGAGGAGCGTGGCCAGACATGATGAGTTGATTTCAGTTTGTTACATTCGCAAAGTTAAGGTACAAAAACATGCTTATCCAACGTATCGGATTAATAAGGGTTTTATACAAAGTAGCCTACAGCCCAACGAAATGGCTTTCTACATACACAAAACTAAATTTTTTGTCTCTGGAAACTTAGACGTGATAGAAAACTTTTAATTAGATTTTAAGGTTATGTAGGTATAGATAATAAACTTCAACATATCTTTTGTAAGATAAAGAACAGAAATAAAAGTTAGTTAACCAGTGATATCAGTCAAAACAGGAAGAAGGGTGAGCAATCCTTTTCACTTCACAATACACCGACAAAAGGAACGTGCAAGTCAGTTGATCAGAATATCAAACTTTAATTTTTTTTACTATTATTAAGTGTGAAACTGTACTTCTGATTAAAAAAAACTCCGTTCCTCTCTTTATAATATACAATCTTTCAGCGACTTAAAGTCGTTCTAATTTGATTTTGTTATATATATTTATATTTAGCTCTGTACCTATGTTGCTTAATTATATTTGTTCCCATTTGGATTCAAATAGTGGTGTGATATCGTATTTTATTCAAATATTGGTGTGATATCGTATTTGAATAGATCGATTTACAGTTCCATGTTCTTCCTTTTATCAGACTTTATACCTGTCATTTGTTTTGCGTTATAAGACCTCAGACTTAGCGCTGAGCCATTTGCTGCCGACGTTTCTTTTAAAGAACCTACGTAGTTGAACTTCCTTGATAATAACCGTTGAATGACGGGTGCTGTGACTTGTAGGATTGTAATAAACTGCTTTGAAAAATATGAATACACATAAATATTGAAGAACACTTCTTGAAGCTAGCTTTGATAAATGTCGAAACAAATAGGATAAGCTCAGGAGTTACCCACTTCTTGAAAAAGATACGAAACAAATAGTAAACCATGATAAGCATACTGTCTTCTAAAGTCTAATACCACACCATTCGATGTACGAACGTATGAATACTGGTTAAGAAACAGCTAAATGTTATCAGGTATAAGAAGAGTTTGAAGAAAGTGTACATAATTTTCAAGATGTATACATACACAGTTACAGGGGCTTATAAGATAAATTGCTTATTTAGTATACCTAATGCACACATACTATTGACATTATTCCCAATAAAATATTATATGCATTTGTCAAGTGTTGAAATGTCTTATATGAATATAAAGGACATTCAAAAAAGACGCTCTACTAGTTATATTTACTGAACTCGCTCACACCATACGTGCATGCCTTATTTGTACACCGTGATAACAAAGGTAGGCTCCAAATTACTTTGTTTGTTGTTTTTAACATAATCAATAAATTTATTGCCCAAAAAACAGCTTTCTTTGTAATTTTGTTTCAATATAATCACGAAAAATACGATATCACACCAAAACCGGACTGCGACCTGAACGCAGCGCCTTGGACCGCTCGGCCATCCTGACTTGTCTTAATTGTTGATTCAATTTTAGATGTTCTTGTTACTTATTTTACTTTCCTTCGTTAAAAGATCGTTTTCAGACTTCCATAGGTCGTATTTCTCTCGCAGTTTAAACTGATCGTATAAATACAAGTAGTTGAATTTTACATGTTTAGCTACGAGAAGTAAATTTACGAAGGCACTGAAGTAAAATGAGACGGGTTCTGTCAGGAGTGGGATTCAATCCCACACTCGGAAACCAGGACTTGAACCTGAACGCAACGCTTTTGAACGATAGGACATCCTTGCGTGTTTTAAATTTTGATTCAATTTTAGATGTCCTTGTCACTTATTTTAACTTCGGGTTGTTGTCTTGGGCAGTTACAGTCGTTTGATCCTTCTTCGCCCACATCATTGGTTCTTTAATATTCTGTATCAACCCTACAAAATAGAACATCCAAATGTAAAACAGCAAAGTCGGAAAACAAAGCACTAACACACACTGATACAGATGATACAGCTAATTCAACCTCAGAAGACAGTATTGCACAAACAAAGTAAAAACAGAGCAGTGAATGTGAAGAACACGTAAACACAAATGAAACGGAATAAAATGGAGAATCCTTACCAGTAGTAAATATAAAAGCAAAGATTTCTGTGTAATTATGCAAAATTAATTATATCAGCCCATAACATGGACAGGGCCTCAAAAGGCCAATGTTAAATCTTATTTAGGGACGCTAAATAAATAAATCTAGCATTGTGTAAGCGTAGGAAGTATCTCAGGAAAAATTCTACATCGATTAAATAAAACTTCAGCAACCTGGACACAACATCATCAGCACGGACCCCTTGGACACATCTTGCAGTGTAAAACTCAACCAAGCTACAATACGTAGAAGCAGAAATTCTAAATAACATAAACTATCAAAAATCATCGCATAAGGAAACCGAATTAAACATGAAATCTGAAACATCTGATACAGCAATGAAAATAACAAAAATAAACCAAATTAAACATGGAATCTGAAACATCTGATACAGCAATGAAAATAACAAAAGTAAACCAAATTAAACATGGAATCTGAAACATCTGATACAGCAATGAAAATAACAAAAGTAAACCAAATTAAACATGGAACCTGAAACATCTGATACAGCAATGAAAATAACAAAAGTAAACCAAATTAAACATGGAATCTGAAACATCTGATACAGCAATGAAAATAACAAAAGTAAAAGTGCAAAAATCTACTGTTGATTGTGGGGTTAGGGGGGATTCGAATGTGTACCTGACTCTCCCGGGTTCAACAAAATCTCATATAGCGGATCCGTATTGTAGCTGGATATTTTATTACTGTCATTTTGGTTATTATGGAAAACAAGTCAAAATGCTGAAAAGTATATTTACAGCTTTTGGCTTGTAGAATTTATTTGTGGTGCGAGTTTTGTTCAAACCTCAACTATTTACCATAGTTACTACAATAACGATACAGAGATTATTCTATATAATGTTTTTATTTTTCAATATATGAGAAACTTTAACATGTATTTCGTTTGCTTTTGGAATAGTCAGTTAGCATGCCGAGTTTGGTCTGGATCAGTCAACTCGTTTAGGAGGATATGCGTCCACAGACACACAGAAAGGTTTTCTTTTTATTTGATAGTTACCGCACCGGTGTGGCTTAATATGTAAAGCGCATATGTTAAAAACGCCTGCATAATTAATTATATTTGCTAAGATTCGTCGATAACAAATTTATTATCATTTGGATTATAAAGATTTTCTTTTATTTTCAGTTACATTTTCTACGTAGTGGAGTGTGAGAAATAACTTTTGATGTAAAAAATGTTAACATTTGTCTCAACAGTCATCAAAATTACAAAATTATGACAGTAAACGAGTGTATGCCGCCTAACAACAGTTAAAATAACGTCAATGACTTCTTACCAAAATAATATTATACTTTCAATTTGAGTGGTGTTATGAAAGTAACTGTGGTATTATTCTATATGAGAATTGTTTTGTAAACTTCGTAAGAAATAGTATAATAATAAAGAAAAATAAATGTTATTCATATAGTGGTGTGATATCGTATTTTATTCAAATACTGGTGTGATATCGTATTTTATTCAAATACTGGTGTGATATCGTATTTTATTCAAATAGTTCTAGTGACGAACAAAGCTAAGCGGTGTACTGTTGCGTCAGAAGGAAAATATTGAAAGTACAGGATATTAAAAAACCAATGATGTGGGCAAATTGCCCAGGACAACACCCCGAAAGTAAAATAAGTAACAGGAATATCTAAAATTGAATCAAAAGACATGAAAAGTCAGGATGGCCGAGCGGTCCAAGGCGCTGCATTCGAACCCACGCCCGGAAAACCGGACTGCGACCTTAACTGTTATGTCAGAAGTGGGGGTTTAAAACTAGTCGTATAAATACATGTTACTTAATATTTCAGGTTTAGCTACAATTATTAAATGTTCAAACGCGTTAAAGTAAAACGAAATAAAACCTAAATAGTTCATATTTCTCTTGCCTACATATCTCCTATCTCCCCCTTTCGGGATCGGGACAATAATACCGATCTTCATACTATCAATTAATTCCTGCTGATGGAAGAGATCGTTCAAAACAGTAACAAACTCCTCGCGAAAATAAGGTAAAAAACAACGGTAAAACTCCACAGTAAACCCATCAGAGACAGGGGACTTATTAGACGACATCCTTGGCATAACATCCTGAAGTTCCTGAGGTACAATATTACCCTCACACGAAAGACTAACAGACGGACTTAAAGTACGGGTAATATGAGAAAAATGT